GTTATATATAGCAATTTCAACAGTAAAATGAGGAGACCTAGCTGCCAATCTAGTACTGAGCTCAAATTTGTAAAGTCAAGATACCAAAGAGGAAAGCTTATCAGAACAATTACCATGAAAATATTATTAGAAAAGGAACAGAGAAGCTATGTTATGACAGTGTAAAAATGAATAAAGCCAAGATGCCAGATCAGGACCGATAACATTGCAGATTCTTCTTTGGATTTTGTCAAGGATCTCTAGATACAGAGCAAAAGTATCAGATCAGATATGGAAGCAATATTCAATGCATGAATGAATGGTACTTATTTTATAAACAAGCAAAATAGGTTCTGGAAAGGTGAATTGTCTAACACGATACAGTGAATCAACTTTCCTAGGAGCAGACCTCGCAATTGATTTAATATAATCATTCTACTTCATATCAGTGTAAAACGTGAGACAAAGAAGGTGCAATGAGTTGCTCTCCTGAAGGTTAGCATCAGCCATGTTTGTGGAAGGTAAAAAAGTTCTTTTGAATAATAGAGAACAGTTTTGTCTTAGAGGTGCTGAAATTAACATGCCACTCCTTGCCCCAGTTAACAACAGATTGAAGCTCATTTTCAAGATCAGTTACCAATTTGATTTTATCGCATGTATCAGAAAAGAGTAAATAGTTATGTCATCAGCATAGATACTGTGGGGTCAGTCTACACAGATTTTAGATGGAAAAATAAAATCTGAGTGTTGTGTCCCGAAATACAACACAAAATTATAAACAGCGCAAAGATTCTTCTTGGAAAAGAAGAAAACCAAGCTAAATACAACAGTAACATTTATACAGGCAGGTACATATATATATATATTAAAAATCAATGTTCTTTGTTGTGGTCATGAAGAAACCAATAGTTCGTTTGTTCAAAATGATTTTGTCACAAGTGAGTCTGCAAAATTTCAAAGTGTTTTTATGGCCATCAAGTGACCAATAGTTCAATGTGATGTTGCAAGTTCAAAATGATATTTATGCTAATATGTGTTTGTTTGAAGCACACACTTGTGAAATTAGCGTGTAACTGATTGCGTGTGTTAGCAGTAATTTTAAAAAACAATGAAGAGAGGATACAAGACTTAATTTCGTCATGGTGTTGTATGTAGAAAAATCATTGCTAACATACACATTGCCATGGTAATGTGTGTCATTGTTGTTGATTGAGGCTACTCTTGGTTTGTTGACTGTTCCATTTCAGATCTGCTCCTGGCTTTGGCTAATGAGCCACTTTAATGGCTTATGGCAAGTTGGTGACCGGCTCATGAATTCTATCTGAGTTTTGTGTGGTAATGTGCTAAGTACCTCAAGCCCTGACCAATTTCCAGGTTATTTGGAGTTCAACTGTGCAGACATTGTAGAGAGTACATCATGTGACTTATCTTATCCAATCAGGTTCCAGAAACCAATTGTTTAATTTTGAAGCTGTGTTTTTACAGAATTGTATAAAACGTTTTTCATATTTACTGAATTTAGTTGAATTTATTTGTAAGTGTCTCCTATTTGTTTGTGCTTCACTTATTGGCTGTAAAATATAGGAGTTTATATCCTATAAGCCATAATCTCTGGTGTGACCAAAATATGATAATTCCATTGTACGTTCTTTATAAGAAAAAAAAAACAAAAAACAAGGAAATGAAGAAGAATTAATTGGACTGATATCATCAATGTCTTTATCAAATGTTCAATATGGTTTTATGAATTCTCCAAGATGCTTGTCTGAAATGAATATTACAATGGTTTTAGTTCGATAATTGAAAAATGTTCAGATGATTTCAATTTTTCTTTTTCCATCCAGATAATCAAAATCCTGAAAATCAAGGTGTAGATAATTGAGGATTTACTATAGAGGTTTATTTAATTAGGCTGTTATGTAAGAAGAGAAAGTAAGAGCAGATTACAAGGATATGTAGGATAGATAATAGCTGACAGTAGATTTGAATAAATAAGGGGTTTCGTTTCAAAATTCTAACATATATCATCTGAAGAACGCTGGAGTGTATGAGAGTCGAAACATCATGAATGTGGCAATAAAAATGAGGACAACAGTCCGAATGATGAAAATAGGTAATGATAATATTTGTTATTTCCCTACAAAGAAACATTTGGCATTCATTGACTGACCATCCAGTATTATTTCTGATTGAAATTTATAAAAATCTTTCTCTTGAAACAAATTTTCAGGAAAATAGGTTTATTGAGTGTCAGTATTGATGGAATTTCCTTCCTAACCTTTTATTTGAAGTTGTGTGGAATATCAACATCTTGATTATGTCATTATTTTCTCTTTGAATTATATGTGCTATCCATTTTAGTTGTTACTACTGTTGGTAGTCCTCAAGTGATGTGGTTTCTGTTTTTGGTACAGTTCTTTGTTTGTGATTCTGTAGCACCAGTCCACAAGGTTCAAAGAACGATGATCTTTGCCAAAACTCTTCAGTTACTCAAAGCCATTGCTAACCATTGATCTTAGAAAGTGCTGACAGTTTAGATATTTCTGAACGGGTGCCATTCATGTCATCCATATGAAAGGCTATTTAAGAATATGACTCAAGTTTTCAGGTTAATGTTTTAGTTTTTTGGCAATTTGCGGGTGAAACTATCTCTCCTGCAGCTGATTCTACACAGTAACCATCTACACTGAGTGGCTCTTGGGCCTTTAATAAAAAATAATAAAAATAAATAAATCTTATAAAAATAGTAAATGTTGGATATCTAAAAAATATCACCTAACTTGGAGTTAATGATACCTAGACACTATAAATTTAAGTGCAGTACCAGATTGTCAGCAAGATCTCATTTTACAGTTGAAATGACTAGATGTAACCATAATTTCTATACTAACAATTTCTTTTTTCACATTTCTTGCTTGTGGAACTCTCTTCTGGCTTTCGTGCTTTTCAGTCAAGTTTGATCTTCAAAAAGGTAAATGCAATGTCAATCGCTATCTTCTGTCTTCTTAATTTCTGTTCTTTTATTGTCCTAATAATGTTATTCTTATATTCTGTCACACTCTGTAACCCTTTGCATCTTAGTGGCTCTGTTGCTTTGTTTGGGGTGAAATGATTAAAAAAAAAGGTTTCAGTGTGTTTTTGTGGCACCACGCTAAACACTTTTAAGACAGAAAATAAAATTTGATTATGATTAGAATACTTGTGATTTGGCCTAAGTTTTCTATTGCTTTTCCTTATTAAAATATTGTGTAATGAAATCAGTTCATTCTTTTTTAATAACCCTGCATATTTTGAGATTCTTGATAAAATCCAAAGTAAAATCTGTAATATTATTGATCCTGACCTGGCATCCTTTTCCTACTGCCATAACATAGCTTCCCTGTACCTTTTCTATATATATTTTCATGGTAAATGTTCTGATGACCTCTCCTCTATGGTACTTAGACTCTATGAATTACTAGATTGGCAGCTAGGTCTCATGATTTTAAAGTTGAAATGGCCACATGTGACTGTAAGTTCTATGCTAACAGTTTCTTCTCTCACACTTCTCACTTGTGGAATTCTTTCTTGCTTTCCAATGTTTTTCTTATATTTTTTTTCACACTCAGTACCCCCTCGCTGCGTGTTAGTGGCTCTGTTGCCTTGCTTGGGGTGAAATGATTAAAAAGAAGAAAAATGAAAGGAACATCCCGGCAAAAAAAATGTACAAAAAAAAAGGAGAAAAGTTCTGAAATAAAGAAAAAACTTTAAAAAGTAAGATGAATGAGAAAAGAAAAAGAAAAAAATTATATGTAAGAGAAAATATTTATAAAAAGAAAGAATTTCCAAAAGAAAAAAGAATGAGTAATAAAGAAATGCTTACAAGAAAGAAAGAATGAATGAAAGAAAGAATGAAAGAATGAATGAAAGAAAGAAAAAACGAAAGAAACGCCAAAAAGGGTTAAAAAAGGGGAAGAAAGATGACAGAAAAGATTGACGTTTTTAAATTTTATCTCTTTCTTTTTTTTTATTTTGAGAGTGAATAAAAGAAACAATAAGAACAGAAATATAAACCCATTTCTATATTTTTTGTTTGTAAACCTTTAAAAAATTAAAAGCCAAAAAGGGGGAAAAAATATCGTCGTCATCGTCGTGACATTTCACGTGATGAAGATCTTACTTAAAATGTCGTACAATTTGGGATCATTTCTCTTTCGTCCTGGCTTTAACATTTTTTTTTTTACTTTAATTAATTCACACGTTTCCATAACAACCTTTTCTTTCGTTTCTTCATTTATTTTTAGTTTATTTTACAGACAGACGGACACAGAAAATCGAACGTCCAGAATATAAAAATGTTTTTTTTTTTTTTTTCGTGTTTTAAATTTCAGTCTTGTTTGTTGGGTTTTTCTTTTTATGTAATATATTATCTTTTTTTTTCTTTTTCATATGCCATGTCCTTTTAAGACGTGAACGAACATGGTTCTCCTCCACACTTCTTATTTTTCTGATTGTTGGCCCTTTTTACTACCCGCTTTCTTCTTCTTCTGTCATTCATTCACTCAACAAAATCGTCAAGCAGGTTATTCGTTGCTTCCCCTGCCTTTTCCCGCTTTTAATATTTAATGACATGATATAAATCGATTATAGCTTCAAATGATTTTGCTAAAAACAAGTTTTAAAACGTCTGTTTTAAAGCAAGGGTGAATCTATTTGTAATTCATGGACAAACGACAGACGTGTGAGCACTTGCTTTTTAAAAATATATCACAAGGTGTGGTGTCGTCCCTGTGTAGGCAAAGGAAATGAAAAACAATGAATGAATGAGTGAATGATGAATGAATGAGTGAATGAATGAATGAGTAAATTATGAATGAATGAAAAAATAATGACAAAAAAAGAAGTTTAAAATAAAAGAAAAGTGAAGACAGAAGTATAAAAAGATGTGGCTTAAAAATTAAATCTTTTTTAAATTTATTTATGAAAGACTTTTTTTTTAATTGTCGGTCTTTTGAAAAGAAATTCACCTTTTTCGTTTTTTTATGTTTAAATTAAAACAATCACCTCACTTATGTATTCCTTCTTATCTTAATCTTCTTTATCTCTTAATAATCAGCAATTGGATAATCGTCTCTAAACTTCAACTCTTTTTCTCTCCTTTTTCTAATTTTTTTTTCGGTATCTATCTTTTCTTCACACACTTTCTTTCATTCTTTCCTCCTTCAACTTTATTATCTGACTATCTTATCGACTTCTGTTCATTTGTAATCAAATTGATTTTTTTTTTAGTTTTTGGAATAAATTTCATTCTTTCTATCTATCTATCTATCTATCTATCTATCTATCTATCTATCTATCTATCTTTCCTACTTTATATCTGTTTTTTATTTTTCTTTCTTTACCTATATATTTCTTTATATCTATCTATCTATCTATCTATCTATCTATCTATCTCATTCTTTCTTTATATATCTCTATCTTTTTTCTTTCTTTCTTTCTTTATATCTATCTATCTATCCCTTTCTTTCTTTCTTTCTTTCTGTTTTTTTATTTTTCTTTCTTTATACCTATATATTTCTTTATATCTATCTCATCTGTTCATATCTATCTATCTATCTATCTATCTATCTATCTATCTTTCTTTCTTTCTTTCTATCTGTCTCTTTCTTTTATTTTTCTTTCTTTATACCTATATATTTCTTGATATCTATCTCATCTGTTCATATCTATCTATCTATCTATCTATCTATCTATCTTTCTTTCTTTCTTTCTTTCTATCTGTCTCTTTCTTTTATTTTTCTTTCTTTATACCTATATATTTCTTTATATCTATCTCATCTGTTCATATCTATCTATCTATCTATCTATCTATCTTTCTTTCTTTCTATCTGTCTCTTTCTTTTATTTTTCTTTCTTTATACCTATATATTTCTTTATATCTATCTCATCTGTTCATATCTATCTATCTATCTATCTATCTATCTATCTATCTATCTTTCTTTCTATCTGTCTCTTTCTTTTATTTTTCTTTCTTTATACCTATATATTTCTTTATATCTATCTCATCTGTTCATATCTATCTATCTATCTATCTATCTATCTTTCTTTCTTTCTTTCTTTCTTTCTATCTGTCTATCTATCTTTCTTTCTTTCTTTCTTTCTATCTGTCTCTTTCTTTTATTTTTCTTTCTTTATATCTATATATTTCTTTATGTCTATCTATCTCATCTATATCTGTCTATCTATCTATCTATCTATCTATCTCATTCTTTCTTAAGTTGCTTAAAAGTTAATTCAAATCCAGGTTAAAGGCAGAATCTCAAATGTATATTTTCTAAGCAAGCTAATGTACTAGAAATGGTAGATTAATGCAACAAAATCTTTACATTTATATAGTTGTAAAATCTGCAGATTTTACAATTTTTTCTATAAATATATATTCTTTATATATTTTTCATAAATATCTATTCTTCATATTTAACTTATATTTTCTCTACGTACACATGTGTATACAAATTACAATACTGAATATAAAAATAAATATATTAAAATTATGTATAAAAAGCATAAATATATATTGTATAATTTATATGATTTATTTCTATGATTTTAATCCTCTTATTTATATTGTTGATATATGAGGACAGGTCAATAAATCTGAATTTGGTCTGAAATGTTCATCATATAATGTTCCACTGAATTAAGTGCATTGATTAGGATGAAGATTATATTGAAAAATATATATTTATTGTGTAAAAATGCTTTTTTCATCACTCGATTATGGAATTATTGATGTACTTATACAGAAATTAAATTTATTATTTTAAATTATTTATTGTATCAGTAAATTTGAATTTTTATCTATATAATCAATGCATTTATTTATTTAAAATTTAAATATATATATATATATATATATATATATATATATATATATATATATATATATATATTTTAATAAAAAACAGACCACGTTAAGATTCCATGTAATAAGCTCCTCGGGTCTACCCATACGGATTACCTAAGTTTGCATAAACTAAATATATATATATATATATATATATATATATTTAGTATCGCAGCTCCTCAGTATGACTAGACATCCAAATGCCTCAAGTCAGAATTGAAACTGAACTGATTTGGTGTCAGTCAGTTTCTACCACTTAGCTATCTTCAATCGACAGAATGGAACAGCTAAATCTAGCATACTGTTTTTACGAATGTAAACAAATGCCAATCAGCCATATGGCTCTATTCATTTTACTGAAGAGCTTCGCATTAACACAGGTGGCTATGCTAGGGCACTTCAACATGGTGTAATGGTTAGTGAAGCTTGTCTTCCTAGATTAATTATGACTGAGTAGTGAGTTTGATCCTCACTGGGTGCGCTGTACTTCCAGCATTGTGCCACATCTAAGCTATGCCTAAAAAAAATAGTGGCACCTCAGCATCGTGTAATGGTTAGCAAGCTTGTCTCATTAAACAGTTATGACTGAATAGTAAGTTTGAATGTCAATGGAGGCCCCATACTTTTGGCCTTGTGCCAAATCTAAGCTGCACATAGAAAAATCATATATATATATATATATATATATATATATATATATATATATATATATATATATATAATGTATATTTGGGGAACAACTTTGCTTTCAAACATGTTTCATTGAATATGACAGACATGGAAAATTTGATGATTTTTTTATTTAGTTTTTCTAATATTTTTATATTTTTTCCTTTTGGTAGGAATAAAGGATTGTAAAGATTGTCAGAAAATTACAGAAAATGGCAAACTGCCAAGCTTGTCATCACTAATCAAAATAGCTATCAAATCTAAACTACTGATGACCAATATAGTGTATCAATTTCACTGACACTACAAGACTTTTTCTTTTCATAAATCAATTAGCTGTATCAGTCATACGACCACCTCCTTGAACAGATGCCTTACATGTCACTTCACTGACCAAAGTGCTGTAAAAAGAAAGGCACTTAGCCATCCACAATTTACAACAATCTATAAAACGGTGCCATAGCTGGTGGTTTGCTAGGCTCAGAAGTGGAGATTTTAATCTTGAAGACCAAAATCATTCTAGCAGGCCTTTAGTCATTGGTGATGTCCAAATTGAAATGCTGATTAAAAAAATGATCCTGGTCACACAACACTGGACATTGCAGGGTTACTTCACATATCCCATATGAGCACTGTAAGATAATTGAAGAGGATATGTAAACTGCTACAATGTGATTCCCATTTTAATGGAAAAATAATTAATGAACTGCATTTCCATCTAAGGTTCTTTGTTCAAAAGCAACCAAAATGACTTTTTTTTAAAAAGAACAATCACAGGAAATGAAGGATATACTTTTTACAACAATGTAGAATGAAAAATGTCTGATGGAAAACAAAATGATCTACCATTAACCACTATAAAATCTGGTTTGCTTTCAAAGAAGGTGATTGTGTGTATCTGGTTAGGTTGGAGGGACACTGTGTATAACAAACTCCTTCTGCAAAATTAGACATTGAAGTTCTGTTCTGAATTGAACTAATTAATGGCAGTAATCGATTATATAACCTAATACCATCTGTTTCATGAAGAGGAGGTGACTACCATCAAGTATTCTTTGTTAACCCTAAAGATGCTGTGAAGAATCCAATAATGGCACCCTGGTGATCTCTTCAGTCAGAACAGTGATTCTTTCCTGCAACTGATACCATCGAACCCAATAATACTTGTCCTATTTTCTTGTGCATAATATGAGAAGTTTTCAATGAAAATTAAAAGGTTAAAAAGGGAGAGAGTGTATTATAGAAAATTACATGTTTTCAGAAATTTTTACTCAGCTTAAAAAAAAATTCATTTGAAACAGCAAGACTTGAATATACTCAGCACAATAGATAATAAAACACAATGTAAACAGGTGTTGATGACAATTGTTTACAAAAGGTATTTGAGATGTCGGCCATATTTGTTTCTCTCTTCATTCTTCATAAAAGACAGCATTTTTTTTTATTTTCATAGTTTATTAATATATAGAAATATAATCAAGTTATATCAAACAGAAAAGTACAATAGATTAATTAACACCTTAAAAATGTATTACCAAGTATGTCTAATTAGCACCTTTCCCCCAAAATAAATTTTGAAACAGAAATTAGGAGAAGAAACACACAATGGGTAAACATCCAGTTCATTTTTATTCTTTAATATTGTGAAAAATTAGAATATTTTAGTGGAATATATGTATGACATTTAAGATTTTAATGGATAATATGGTGCAATTTTTCAAAAAAAGATGGCTGTACTTTGGGGTTGTATTATATTCAAAGATGTAATTTATTCCTTGTTTTTAGCTTTAGAAACATGGGATTGTATTAGACACAATAACGTATGGTAATTTGAGAGGAGTTGTGTACAAGCAATAAACCTTTCATTTCGTTCAAGATGTCTTTCAGATCGAATATAAGACAAACTGGGACCTTTCTAAAAAATATAGAGTACCAAAAGGACAGTTTTTTTTCCTTGACCCTACTATTATTTTAACTACCTTCACTCTTTGGCAATATTTATTGTTTTAAAAAGCAAAGATTAGAATTGAAATATAAGACCTAAACATATGAAAGTGAATTGATACTATTTTTTTTTGTTCTTGAGAATTGGCAAAAATAAATAATAAACACTATTTATTTATTATGTCATTTATTGGAATGGTTGGTGTTATGAATAATCAAGAGTTTTCACCTCTTTAGAGAGCTATTTCTGTCTACTGGGACTATAAAAGGACACTGTATGTGATCCTTGTATTCTCAGTTGAATAAAGCTTTAATATAGTAACTAAGAAACTGAGGCACTTTGAAGTACCCAAGCGGTGGCTAACACCTCTACCAGACGTATGAGTTGACAATTGGACTCCTTTCAAGCTCAGAAGGGCATAAAAAGAATCAAAATCGACTATGAACAGAGGCACCTTGAAATACCCAAGCAGTGCCTAACACCTCTACCAGATGTACAAGTTGACAATTGGACTTTTTTCAAACTCAGAAGGGTATAAAAACATGGTTGTAACTGGTTTTTGAACATTATATTTTGGACATGTTTATTTGTATCTGAAAAAAACACTTTTGCTAAAAATGTATATACACATCTATGCCATGGAAGGGGTTAAAGTGATAAAAATCTTTTGATTGGTTTGGTTTGTTTTAAGGCATATCAACCTCAATGGGTCATTTAATGCCAACAACTTTTTATTTCCTGGTAATATTTTTGTTTTGTCAAAAATCTATTTCTGTCAATATTTTTTCCTCAAAAATGTATAGCTGGTAATGTTATTTTTTCAAAAACGTATTATCAGAGGCCTTGCTCTTGGACATAGTTTATCATCATACCCAGGACGCAGATGTAGTTTATCGTCATACCCAGGATGTAAAATCTTTTGAATTAATAAAAAATCCATTACTTTCTCTAAAAGACTGGTTTTTATAAATCATAGAAAGGTAGGCTACAACAATCTGAACATCTAAATGAAGAAAACTGATAATTGTTAGGTTGTTACAATGAAGGCAAAATCTGAGAAACAAAAAAGGCAACCAATTTGTTTCTGTTACTGATTACGTCATGAAAAAAATCCATTCACTAATTATATTGTTCTTAAATATATTTTTTTTTTTGGCTTCAACAGTACAATTAAATTAGACTTTGATAAATGGGCCCCATCTTCATGTTCACAATTTATGTGTATGCTGCAAGAATGACTTGTTAAATCTTGGGGGATTCACTCAGTTTAATTTGCATTAGTATTCCAAGTATGTGAGAAATCAAGGTACTATATTGCAGATGTGACTCAGGTGCATTTATGGTTGAATGGGGAAAAGAGCTTCAACCGAAAACTATCGAGTTAGTAGTAAACTCTCTTTCTCTTGTTGCCAATTGTGTTCACTGTGATAATGACTAGAGAATTGGGAGACTTTTCTGTTAATCAAGAAGCTGGGGAGATTGCCATTATTCAACTGTTGCCGTTGAGTGATTGTCAGTTTGCAAGAATCATTCAATGAGACTGCTGGAATCAATTTGGGTTTGGGGACATGGTACGTAGATATTAGTCAAATTAATTAAAATATTCAAATTACAGTCATTTATCATCTTCAATATTTGTACCTTCATTTTGCAGATCGACCAATTATTTTTCTAACTAATTACAAGGTACTAATTGATATATATTTTCTTGCTTGTAAGAATTCACTTGCAGATTTAACTGAGATTTTTTTTTATGCAGCAAAAATAATTAT